AATCTCAAGCCACGGTTTTTGCGGGTCCACTGAAATGGATAACAGATGCAGCTTCCAATACCTGTTGGGAAACTTGTGGAAATCGATGGCCTAACCCAGCAACATGCCACGATGGATCAATGGTATGCACGTGACCCTCGAACGCTAGCAAGGCAGGTGGAAGTGCTCCAGGATGCCATAATGTCAATCCAGAATTGAGGTTCTGCAAAATAAAATCAGAGTTACCAAAACAAAGAATGCTAGTTATATTTCATATCTAAAATTAGAACGATAATCATGACACAATCCGGAATCATGCAGTGATCTCAATGACAGGATTATCAAACTAAAAACACTTGTAGAATAGGACAGAATTAAGTATCTCTAAATCAATAATCATTGAACTGACCCTCTATTCTTGGCCCCTATTCAAATTACTGAAATTTCTTGTATATTGTAGGTTGTTACGTTCTGTCAGTTCAATTTTCCAATATTCCAGTTTCATTCTAAAATATATTAAGCAACTCAATACTTCTCAGCATGTAATTACATGAATAATGTCTTGTTCTGTAGTTTGAGGCATTAACTAATCACTCACATTTAAAACAATTGAGCAAAAAATACTCACAAGTTTAAGCCATCGATGATAGTTTGCAGTGATATTGGTCTTCCTCCATGTTTGGAGATCAAAAACATTCATCCCATATAACCACCCACACTGATCACGATCCAAGTTTGAAGATATAATTGGCTCTGTAAAGTTGAAATAGTCCTTGTATTTTCTACCGTGGCAACAGGCACGACCGCACCATGAGTCAACAACCGCACCGACAACTTTCCCATTGAGATCCAATTCCCATAGAGATGATAAGTCGTGTTGCACTATAATATCATCGTCTAGGAACACAATCTTGTTCAAATCTGGAAACAGCTGTGCGCCCATGAAAATCAGATAATAGATCAATCTTAACCGAATATCCCACATTCAAGGTCATCCGTAAAGATGCATACGAGTACTATGAAACAATTGAATAGTTACCTCCGGGATGTATATGCGCAGATGATTCAAAAGGGAAACACAGCTGAGGTTTAGAATCTCTAAGTTCCTTTCATGCTCTTCCTTATATTCAATGTCCTTCAAATTGTCATATTTATGGCTCCAGATCAGGTGATGAATCTCTTGCATATCCTGAATTCCAACATTCACCTCATGAGGCCAATCATATTGATGCAATCCTTTGACTTCCACGACTGCTGAATTTACGGAGTTTATTGCAAACCATGCATGCATTGAAGTATAGGTTTTCTTATCAGTCACTACATGGAACACCAATTTCTCTGGCTTGACTGAGCTCTTGATGGTAGATGAGATGGCGACCGAGGCAGCAAGGACATTGTCAGTTAGAAGAACGATGTGATCGAATGAAGGATCAGTGAGATGAGAAACAAATTCAGGTGGAGGTAAATGAGAACGTGCCATGGCATTCACAGCATACTCTTCGGCCAGTTTGAGGCAAAGACAATGTAAACTCTTTGGGACACCATGTGAAGCTAAATGCCAATAGATCGACTCATGCCGCCTAGCTGATTGGACCTTGCGCTCCATCTTCAGCATCTGCATAAAGCAAGGAACTTCAATATGTTTCGCATGAGGATCAGGAGATAATAGTTGATGACTGTATGACAATGACATTTGCAAATAGGTTGTTACAAGGAACTTGTTGGTTTATGATATCACCACTCCAACCAGCAGGGGCGAAGCCAGATATCTAGTATGTTGGGGCCAATGGAGATTTTTAAAAACTTGCATTTTAGTATCAAGGGCGCATGTTGAAATAGTCATTACGTTAAAGTGCAGGCTTGAAAAGATTTATAAAATAATCCTCAGTTATAAGGCCAAAAAACAATTGTTTACATCATTAATGTAGCCTCACGCAGGCTAAACAGTGATTTCATTTTAACAACATAAAGCAGTACCACTATATTTTCAAGAATGGGCATGAAATTGCTTGACTATACATATGCAGGCTATCATAAAAGCTTTATCTTAAGACACGACACAGCAGAAATTAGATATCATACAATTACAAAATCCTGGAACATCAAATTGACCATGAAATCTATAACTGCATTTCTTTTATTCTTGAAAAAAAAAAACCACAATCCACGAATTGATCCTCCTAAAAGGAGAGAAGGGCCGAAGTTCAACGAAGGCCTAGTTAATAGATCACACCTTCGGAAGTCCTTATAGTTCCCTAGATCCACTAGTAATCTGTTGCACCACTTCCCCAGTCGGTGAACTAAATCTCTAAAATTTGAGATTGCTTCTCACAATTAGCTAGTGAAATAAATGCTTAAAATTTAAAAATAGCAAAAGCAGTTAGATCTTCTGATGACAGAATAAGTTTTACAAACCAAATCTCCTTTTGGTCAGCTACAACCATAAAAATGATTGCTTAAAAGGCTGAAAACCAAATCAATGAACCTTATGCCTTATAACCAGCTGAAGGTTTTTTTTTTTTCCAAAACTTGCATTTCACAGGCATTGATGTCTCATTTCTAGGTTTGGTTTGAAAAAATTAAGTACAACAATTATATAAATATGTCACCATGCCATAGATGAGGAGGTAACTGCATTGGGAAGTTCACAATTCCCATCCCTGTCCCACACTCATTAACTTGGAAAAAGTTAAGTTGAACTCTTTGCCTACAATGAACAAATTAGCCTTTGGGTCAAAAATTAGTTAGAACTTGGCAACCACTCAAAATAATTTAGAGTCCTATCTATCTCCCCAAGTTATAAAGTTAACTATTACTAAATATTTCACCTGACTTTCAACTAGTGCTGTTGTGACTAGTCTCATGATAATAAGACCTTATCAAGAATTTGAGTTGAAAACCTCAACCTTTCTTGTGACAGTTAAGATGCCAAAATCGCCAACATTGTGCAGCCCAAGTCAGCAACAACTTTAGAGCCTAAATAAGGCTCAAGTGCCTGTTCATCCATCTTCATTCCAAAGGTAAACATCTCCATTGACAGGCTGTAAGTGCTATGGTTTTAAGTCAATAATTCTTAACCAACCCTTTCTTATTATGTCTCTAGTGACAACAACAGGATCCCTTGGTTGTTGAAGAACCCGAGCTTATCAATGGAATAATTGAGCGTTACGAGTACATGGGAGTTATGGACAGACAAAATCTCCTATAAACATGTCCTTAACAGGATGGTACTGACTTTCATCATATGGGGAACACAGGGACGCAAGAACCAATGACCGAACCCACAAAGACGGTTTGTAAATAACAAGTGCTTCCACAGAACAACCTTTAACTAACTGGTTTTGACTTGTCGTCTACTTTCAGGAACTAAGGAGCAGAGAGCATGTGTTCTTTTTTATTTGCCATGCTTCTTGCCAGTGCAGTAAGTCTTGTTTCCTTCTCCCCAAGCAAATGCACGTGGCTGGTGCATGCATGACTAGCTATATAAAGTATCAATCCCATGAATGACACTCGTAATAGGACTAAGTTTAGTTCATAAAAATGTAAAAAATATAATTGTAATTCATGTGCTCAGTTGGTTTAGACTAGTTCTCTCAGGAATATTACAGAAACACTTGATGGTTAAGAAAACTCCAGCTGGAAAAAAGCTGGAGTCAGGTAGCCGGAAGTTTCTTGAAGTTCATGGAGTGAGGCGGCATGGAGCATTGAAATTTTATTGGTGGACTGATGACAACCGGGAGTGCTTAATGACGAAGTTCTCTACTCCTATTGATTGAATGACATGTGCCAAAATTGCAGATTCACTATGGAGGCAAATTTGCCTATAAAAAGGCATCCTTTGTATTAGTTAATGCTAATGAGAGTGTGAGAGATATATATGCATTAGAGAGAGATCAGGCAGAGAGCATCTATGAGAGTCTTGAGCATGTGTAATCATCACCCTTTTAATACAATTGCATTTACATTCCCTTCCTAAATTATAATAGCCTATTTATATTCAATTGTTTCCCTTCATTAGATCTTGCACCCCAACAACTGTAGTATCAGAGCCAAGGTTCCAAATCCCCTCAAAAGCCTTTCCAAATAATCCTCTACAATGCACCAAAAAAAACAAAAAAAATAATCCTCTATAATGGAAGCTAACATTTCCATGTTCAATTATGCATAAGCCCTTATCCCTATTGTTGAGGGTGAAAATTATGAGTATTTGAGCTTCCAATTGAAGACTTTATTTATCTCAAGACTTGGGGGAAATAATTGAAACTAGATTCGAAGCATCAGCAAATGATGAAGAATTATGAAGTTGGCAAGCAGAAAGCCAAAAGAAGTACAAAAAGAATAAAAAGAAAGATGCAGATTTACTACTCAACATATAACGAGGGGTTAACAAAACTATTTTTCCAAGAATTTTGGCCCCAAAAACTTCAAAGTAAGCATGGGGAGATCGAGTATCAAGGATTTGATAAGGTAATAATCTTTATCAAACTTCAAACTCTGGTGAGATTTTGATTATTTAGCAGTGAAGGAAAATGAATCTATTCAAGAATTCTTTTCTCGAGTTGCTGGAATTGTCAATCAAATCCAGAATTATGGAGATACCCTTATAAAAACATTGTTGAAAAAGTCTTAAGAAAGCCTACCTTCAAGGTTTGAGCATATTGTTAGTGCAATCAAAGAAGCAAAAGATTTGTCAAATCTAACTCGAAATAAATTAATGAATTCTCTGGAGGCACACGAGAAAAGGATGAGCAAATTTACAAACCAGTCTTTGGAACAAACATTTCAGTCCAAAGTCAATATCAAAGAATCAAACAACTCAAAAAAGAAGCAAGAAAAGCAAGGAAGGGGCAAATATCACAAAAGGAAACCAATATCAAGCCTAAGGCAAAGAAAAAGGCTGCACCAAACAAATAAATTTTGACGGTAATTTTGTTTCTCGATTCATTTTTTTGCAAAAGACTCAACCATAGTGCCATAGATTGCAGATTCAGATATAAGAACTAAAAAGTATCACATCATTCTCAACAAGATTGCTGATTCAACCGTAACAAGGCAAATTTTTTGAAAGTAAAAGGAGATACCATGCTCTCTTGTATGAATATCCATTAAGAATCAAAAAACACTTGGTATTTGGATTGCGGATGCAACAACCATATGACGGAGAATCGAAAGATCTTTATGAAGCTTGATGAAAAAGTTTCCTCACAAGTAAAGCTTGGCACTGAAAAACTGCAAAAGTCGAAGGCAAAGGAGAACTACAACTTGATTTTATCAACACAAAGGAGCAGCTTATGAAAATTACAGAAGCCAAAGCCACAGAAATTTCTTGAATTTCAGCAGCTTATGAAAATTAGAAATTAAGAGGGGTGTGTTAAAAAGATAATTTGTAATTCATGAGCTAAGTCGGTTTAGACTTGTAATCTTTTTAATATTACAGAAACACTTCACAGTTAAGAAAACTCCAGCTGGAACAAAACTGGAGCCAGGTAGCCAGAAGTTCCTTGAGGCTCATGCAGTGAGGCGGCATGGAGCATTGAAATTCTATTGGTGGACTGATTACAACCGGTAGTGCTTAATGACGAAGTTCTCTACTCCTATTGGTTAATTGATATGTTAGTGGCGGTAAAGAAGCTTCAACGAAGCTTGCTCACTGTTGCGGCAAATTTGCCAATAAAAAGGCATCCTTTGTATCAGTTAATGCTGATGAGAGTGTGAGAGATATATATGTACTAGAGAGAGATCAGGCAGAGAGCATTTGTGAGAGTCTTGAGCACGTGTAATCATTATACTTATAATACAATTCCATTTGCATCCCCTTCCAACATTACAATAGCCTATTTATATTCCATTGTTCTCCTTTATGACATCTTGCACCCCAACGAAAAAATGGTTAGTGGTATGTCTTATGGTGACAATAGTTCTAAATATATTAGGGGAACACATTGTAGTTTCATTTGACCATGGCAAGGAGATATATCTTTTCATTTTTTTACGACAGGCAGTGACCTATATTGAGTTTACTGTCAAGTATATTCCAAAAAACGTTCTTGAATCTCTTTAGGTGGCTCATTCATCTCAAATCTTCAGACGACTGTACCACTGGATGACCTCCTAGGGTCAGTTGGAAGTTGAAACACTTTTTTATTTCTTATAAGTCTCTGCACAAGATTCTTCACCATAACTATTGTGTCTTGAAAGACAAAAGATCTCTTAAATCAGTTTGTATAAGCCATGATGATCAAATTTAATCAGTTTGTATAAGCCATGATTCTTTTTAATCAGTTTGTATAAGCCAGATGATCAAATTTAAGATTGCAATCACCTACCTGAACACATTCCTCCTATTCTACTTGGGATGGCTGTTTGGGGTTATATTTCTTCTTCTTGCTAGTGTGTATTTCTTCACAAATAGTAGATAATAATGCAAAATCATATAAGATTACCCAGTCAATGTATAGCTCATGTATTGCTCATCAATTGCACCTCAATAAATCATAAGAATGTTTTTATGACTTTCAATATGTAACTCTCCACCAACTATGGCATAACAATGAATTTGCATTTGTCCCTGAAATGTTGACACAAAAGCATGCTTAGGAGACCAACCAACAAGTTGTTGCTAATGAAGCTCCTCTAATGAGAATGAAAAGAATTTTTAGGATTTTTAAGCAGCAGTCATTGAGTCATGGGGTT